TGTGAGTAAGAGGATGCGCAACAGTAGTTTTTGCTTTAAAAAGTTGTGAGTCGTAATTGCTGAGATTTCTTGGAAATCTTTATTCACAAAGTAAATCGAAAAGATAAATTTAGATTAACAACTCCGTAAAACAAAAAAAAAACTTCCTTAATTTAGACGGTTGTGACATATGGAGCATCGGGGCAAGCGGATAGAATCTGGTGTCCATATATGTCCAATTAAGCTTTTGTTATTTGAAAGACCCTGTGTTTTAGGATACATTCAATTCCAGTGTAAGATTAAATGTGTTACATACTTCAGCAGAAATCCTCTCCCTCAACTATACAATACCATCAGCGGCAAAACTGGACTCAGCGTTCGTCTTTCCAAACATGGATCCAATAACCCTGGAAATTGGATTATTTCTTGACTCTCAACTGTTTGAACATTTTCAAAAGTAGGCACTATTGTTTAATTGTCTTCTAGCCGTAAATGGCTATTTTTGACTGCTTACAAATTTCAGGGAATACATCCAAGATGCAGAACAGCACCTATTAGACTTCTCACTAGCATTAATAAATAATGTTCACGTACTGTATCAACAACCCTCACTTTCACCCAATCTAGAAATTGTAATAGTGAGATATGAGATGTGGAAGACGCAACCAGTAAGTTTCTTTTAAATTCCATCCAGAAAATTGTAGGATATCTTCACCGCACATCAATCAGTTCTGTGGTATAAACGTTGTGGCTTAATCATAAATTTTATCAAAAGCACAGTGTAACGTTTCCACCATCAATGTATAGATGTATGCAGTATTTCAGAGTAATTTGGCAACATTCGTTCACAAGAATGGACAGGCTCAAAGTCTTTTGGATGCGTTTTGCCGCCATCAAGCGCACATTAATCCTGGGTCCGATCTGACTGACGCCGGGCATTGGGATCATGGCGTTTTGTTGACAGGGTATGTGAAAATACATTTTGACAAGTTGGACATAAATTAGAAATGCTGCATCTAAATTCCACTGCGTTTCAAAAAGTGCTACCCACTCATCTCATGTCATCTGCAAATGACAGAACTTTCAGTTATGACATCTATCACACGACTGCCTCTGTTGCTGGAGTAGCCCCTGTGGCACGGATGTGTGATCAACTGTTTGCCTGCTCCCTAGTAGAAGGCCTTCATTTGGGTCGATCATTTGTCCTTGCTCATGAAATGGGACA